TTAAAATATGACATCTTGTTTGAAGTTAAAATATGACATCTTGTTTGAAGTTAAAACATGATAGCTTGTTTAAAATTAAAATATGACATCTTGTTTGAAGTTAAAACATGACATCTTGTTCGAAATTAAAATATGATATCTTGTTTGAAGTCAAAATATGACATCTTGTTCGAAGTTAAAATATGATAGTTTGTTTCATATCAAAAGACAAAGAAAATATTGTCTGTTTTTAAATAAAAATTAAAATTGAAGTACAAAAGTAAATTTATTTTGAACAGCCCTGTAAAAATCATCTCCAGCCTTTTTTAATAAAAATTGAAGCTAAAATATGATATCTCATTTAAAGTCAAAAGATGAAACAAAATGATGTCTGCCTTTAATCAAAATTTAGGTCAAAATACAACATAATGAATTTATCTCGAACAGGTCTGCAATCTCGTCTTTTTTAATAAAAACTGAAGTGAAAATATGATATCTTAAAGTCGAAAAATGAGAAAAATCTTCTGTCCTCTTTAATAAAAATTAAGGTTGAAACATAAAATAGAGAATTTATTTTGAACCTGACTACAAAAATATAATCGTGTCCTCTCTTAATAAAAGTTGAAGTTAAAATATGATACCTTAAAGTCAAAAGGAGATGTCAGTTTTTAATAACAGTTAAGGTTGAAATATAAGTATCCTAATTAAAATACTGAAGACAAATTATACAAGTCAGTAAGATCAATTAATTTTTTATTATAATTTTCCCGGTTCAAAGTATAAAACTCAAGTTAATTACGTGGCAGATACTTTCTTCACGTTAGTACAAATGGGTCGTTTAATTCCTGTAATGCTTATGAAGGCTCATATAACTTTTTATCGCCAAGATAAATAAATTTGTAAAGTTCGAATTGGAGCAAAGCTTGTACAAAATTCTCAAGAGTCTTATAACACTGTACAAGTTTTATAACGAAGTTTTTATGGCCACATGTGACATTAATTCTGTCGGCCATTGCAAGACCGTATGTGATAAAAATAATCTACGACACAATGAATAATAAATTATTAATATTTACATACTATTCATTCAATAAATAATTAAGTTGCATATCAAACAAAAATCCTGAAATAATTTCAAGAACAAAAATTTGCAAAATTAAATAATTTCATTAATGCCTCCAAAAAAAAATTCCCAAATTGGATTCCAAAATTCCTAAATGAATAAATTCCTTTTATTAAAAGATACAGATCTTTTCAAGTATCTCTAAAAACATGAACGTCTCATTTCACGACAATCTTAAAGTGTCTCCTATTAAAATTTTCGAACCGGATTAAAGTGAATCCATAAATCGTGCGAGTTTCAATACTCCATTCCGTTACGTTCGTTTTATTGTCCTTCACCTTTTATTACCCGCGTTCTGATTGAACCGATAAAATTGAGAAACTGAAGTCATAAAAACACTCTGATCGATTCGGTGAATGTGTCATTGTTGAACGTGGAACGATTGCGGCTGAATGTGAACAACTTTTTCCATACCCGATCAATCGTATCAATGAAAAGTCACGATTTGACCTTTCACCCTCTAAGCTGTGACAAAGCAAGCTTAAGATAAAGCGGACCCCACAATTAATTTTGACAAAATTAATCTGTTGGTGAAATAGGGTTCAGAGAAAATTGGGGGTGTGAGACTTGGGGATGTGGGAATTGGGGAATTTTGAAATTGGGGTGGTAGGGATTTGGGGGTGTGGGAATTGGGGAGATGCGAATTTGGGGGTATGGGAATTGCGATGGTGGAAATTTCAGGATGTGAGAATTGGGGTGATGGAAATTTGGGGGTGTGAGAATTGGGGTGATGGAAATTTGGGGGTGTGAGAATTGGAGAATTTTGAAATTGGGGTGATGGAAATTTGGGGGTGTGAGAATTAGGGAATTTTGGAATTGGGGTGATGGAAATTTGGGGGTGTGGGAATTGGGGAATTTTGGCATTGGGGTGATGGAAATTTGGGGGTGTGAGAATTGGGGAATTTTGGAATTGGGGTGATGGAAATTTGGGGGTGTGAGAATTGGGGAATTTTGGAATTAGGATGATGGAAATTTGGGGGTATGGGAATTGTGGTGATGGAAATTTGGGGGTATGGGAATTGGGAAATTTTGGAATTGGGGTGATGGAAATTTGGGGATGTGGAAATTGGGGAATTTTGGAATTGGGGTGATGGAAATTTGGGGGTGTGGGGATTGGGAAACTTCGGAATTGGGGTGCTTGAAATTTGGGGGTATGGGAATTGGGGAATTTTGAAATTGGGGTGATGGAAATTTGGGGGTGTGAGAATTGGGGAATTTTGGAATTGGGGTGCTTGAAATTTGGGGGTGTGGGAATTTGGAAATTTTGAAATTGGGGTGATAGAAATTTGGGGGTGTAGGAATTGGGGAAATTTGAAATTGGGGTGCTTGAAATTTGGGGGTATGAGAATTGGGGAATTTTGAAATTGGGGTGCTAGAAATTTGGGGGATATAAGAATTAGGAAATTTTGAAATTGAGGTGCTAGAAATTTGGGAGATATAAGAATTAGAGAATTTCAAAATTGGGGTGCTAGAAATTTAGGGGATGTGAAACTTAGGAAATTTTAAAATTGAGGTGCACAGTCATTTCGAAAATATTCTGAAGAAATAAAAATATATAGATCTAACAAAAGGTAGCACAGAATATTTAACACATTCCACTTTGAAGTCCAAGTGCAACTATAATTTGTACCCTCAAAAACCATTAAATACAAAATCCTCACATTTTGTCTTTATTCAATAATTTTAATACCATTGCATTTAATAGTTAAATATATTCTAAATGACCTAACAAACTAATCATACCACAAATAATTAATCAGTTCAACAAACCCCACCTTAATCAAAGAAAATTTCACTTCGCAAACGTAAATTCTTTCCGAACTCCATGTTTCCCAAGTTAATCAACGAAGCACGTTTCCACCAACGAAACTCGATAAACCGCGTTATCGAACTTCGATAGTGTTCTTTCGACAGAAAGAAGAATTAATTGGACTCTCCTACAAGAATATCGGCGTTCTTCGTAGAAACCAATCGTCAAAGAAATCTGAAAATTCTTTCATCCAAAGCTGCAAATAATGAAGCTGATTATAAGCATTCCATTTGGTATATTTATAATAGACATCTTTTCGTGCAAGAAGGAACACAATCGGAGGAATTTCTATGGAAGCTCGAACGTTTGTCAGTGGCACGTGGCTTACGTAAGTCGGAGAAAAAAGTTTTTACGTAAGAGACTCGATTGCAGAATAATTTTCTTGAAAGGCGAATCAAAACTAAAGGGTTTGTTTCTTTGGAATCGGTGACTTGTATTAGTAGCTCTGGATCGATATGGTTCGAGATCCAATTATCCTTTTTCTTCGTTAATCAAACAATCGATATCGGATGGAAAAAACATTCGCTCTTTCGAACGTCATTATCTTTCTTTTCCAGACCTTTTTCCACCTGGATCCCCACGATTACGGAGGAGAGTCTAAACAATTTTCTTTGGCTAGCGATCAGCGGTACTTACGCTCTATCGGTTGCGTAATGATAAGATTTTAATTTGTTTAATTTTGAGTTTTATGGTTCGTTGAAATTTTATTAGTGTATTTCAGTTTTGGAGACTTCTTGTGGATTAAGTAATTTTTTCTTCTTAAAATTAAATAACTTTGTAGCAAAATTTTGTTTGAGTTAAATTAAGTATTTGTTGGTCTTTTACGGTTCGTTGAAATTTTATTAGTGTATTTCGGGGTGTGGAAATTGGGGTGATAGAAATTTGGGGTGTGAGAATTGGGGAATTTTGGAATTGGGGTGATGGAAATTTGGGGATGTGGGAATTGGGGAATTTTGGAATTGGGGTGATGGAAATTTGGGAGTGTGAGAACTGGAGAATTTTGGAATTGGGCTGATGGAAATTTGGGGATGTGAGAATTGGGGAATTTTGAAATTGGGGTGATGGAATTGGGGGTGTGAGAACTGGGGAATTTTGGAATTGGGGTGATGGAAATTTGGGAGTGTGAGAATTGGGAAATTTTGGAATTGGGGTGATGGAAATTTGGGGGTGAGAGAATTGGGGAATTTCGAAATTGGGGTGATGGAATTGGGGGTGTGAGAACTGGGGAATTTTGGAATTGGGGTGATGGAAATTTGGGAGTGTGAGAATTGGGGAATTTTGGAATTGGGGTGATGGAAATTTGGGAGTGTGAGAATTGGGGAATTTTGGAATTGGGGTGATGGAAATTTGGGAGTGTGAGAATTGGGGAATTTTGGAATTGGGGTGATGGAAATTTGGGAGTGTGAGAATTGGGGAATTTTGGAATTGGGGTGATGGAAATTTGGGGGTGTGGGGATTGGGAAACTTCGGAATTGGGGTGCTTGAAATTTGGGGGTGTGAAAATTGGGGAATTTTGAAATTGGGGTGATGGAAATTTGGGAGTGTGAGAATTGGGGAATTTTGGAATTGGGGTGATGGAATTGGGGGTGTGAGAACTGGGGAATTTTGGAATTGGGGTGATGGAAATTTGGGGGTGTAGGAATTGGGGAATTTTGAAATTGGGGTTTGCAGGTTAAATAATTTTTAGTTAAATTAAGTATTTGTTGGTCTTTTACGGTTCGTTGAAATTTTATCAGTGTATTTCAGTTTGAGACCTCCTGTAGATTAAGTAATATTAACCTTCTCAAAATTAAATAACTTTGTAGCAAAATTTTGTCTAAATTAAATTAAGTATTAGTTAGTCTTTTACTGTTCGTTGAAATTTTATTAGAGTATTTTAGTTTGGAGATCTCTTGCAGGTTAACTAATATTAACCTTCTTAAAATTAAATAACTTTGATGTAACAAGATTTTTGTCCAAGTTAATTTAAGTATTTGTTGGTCTTTGAGACTGTGAATACACTTTCAGTATTGGTCTTTAAATACACTTTTACTGTGCACTGTGTGTGTTCACTATTTTTGACAATTTTTGTAAATTTAAACAATAGATAAAACTTTGAACTTAAATATAAATATAATGAACATAAAAATATACATATTTTGAGTTATAACAAGATACTGAAACTCTTGACTCACCTGTTAAACCAATCGTCGGTGTATCTCGGATAAGGGTAAGGGTCGTTACTGCTGAAGTCGTAAGAAGCCTTGGCATTCTAAGACAAAAAATTTCATTTTTCTTAAAATAATATTCGTAGCATAACAAAAACCATAGAAAAATTTAATTTAATTAACAGTAAAGTGCAGAAAGATAGCTCTGAAGACTCCTTCCTCAAGACAGTGGTAGTCGCAGTAGAAATATCAACGCTTAAGACGACACATCAAATTGTATTAAACTGAATATTATACCAAATGGAGGAAGATTTATTCTTCCTCATTCTTACATTCAACTAAATTAGTACCATCAAGCTAATTTATAATCAAGACAAAGACCCCAGTCTTTTAAGATGAAAATTCAATTAATTCAACTCCTTTATTGTAATAATTCTCGGCGAGACTTTTTCTTTGAATTCTCCCTATGACGAACATTGATTTTTCACCCGCACTCCAGCTACAGGGCATTGTACTCCACCACAATTTATTAGATAAAATATTTATTACTTTAAAACCTTTGGCAATATTATTTACTTATATTACTTTCATGAAGTGTATGATAAAAATTTTTTATGCAAACTTTCATGTAAAATTTTTTATATAAACTTTGATGTTAAACTTTCTATGTAAACCTTGATGTAAAATTTTTTATATAAACCTTAATGTAAAACTTTTTATATAAACTTTCATGTAAAATGTTTGTATATAAACCTTGATGTAAAATTTTTTATATAAACTCTTGATGTAAAATGTTTGTATATAAACCTTGATGTAAAATGTTTGTATATAAACCTTGATGTAAAATGTTTGTATATAAACCTTGATGTAAAATGTTTGTATATAAACCTTGATGTAAAATGTTTGTATATAAACCTTGATGTAAAATGTTTGTATATAAACCTAATGTAAAACTTTTTATATAAACTTTTATATAAAATGTTTGTATATAAACCTTGATGTAAAATTTTTGTATATAAACCTTGATGTAAAATGTTTGTATATAAACCTTGATGTAAAATGTTTGTATATAAACCTTGATGTAAAATGTTTGTATATAAACCTTGATGTAAAATGTTTGTATATAAACCTTGATGTAAAATGTTTGTATATAAACCTTGATGTAAAATTTTTTATATAAACTTTGATGTAAAACTTTTTATATAAACTTTGATGTAAACTTTTTTATGTAAGTTTTGATGTAAAATTTTTTATGTAAACTTTTATATAAAATGTTTGTATATAAACCTTGATGTAAAATGTTTGTATATAAACCTTGATATAAAATGTTTGTAAATAAACCTTGATGTAAAATGTTTGTAAATAAACCTTGATGTAAAATGTTTGTACATAAACCTTGATGTAAAATGTTTGTATATAAACCTTGATGTAAAATGTTTTTATATAAACCTTGATATAAAACTTTTTATATAAACTTTCATACAAAATATCTGTACAATTACTAATAAAATGCACCCAAGACCTTACTCTTCCCCATTTAACTACCCTAAAATATAAATATAAAACAGACCACAAAAACCGAACCCTCAAGAATCTCTTACAGTAATGAATCACGCAAATTTGTACGACAGATGAAAATAAACGGTGAAGAATAGAATCATAACTTCTTGACGTCCCTAATTAATTGAGCAGAGAATACGAGAGCAATTTGCACGCCATAAAAATCATTTTTCTGTAATATTTACCTATCATAAATTTTTCGTGTCCATGAACAACGTTGCTCGACTATTAATCTTCGTCTGCTCGAAGAAAACTACCCTTTCGACCCTCGTTTCTTTCCTTCGCTCTACCTTTTTTTATCTTCCTTCACGTATCATCTTGTTTTCTACCTTTCTGATAACCACGTCACCGATAAAAATCCCACGATTTATATCTAGACGTATTCCTTTCACGTGCTACGATCGAACAAACATTTCTAAAGTAATCTCTATCCTCGCAACGCAAACATTACTCTTTTTATGTCCTCGTGAAAGTATAGCGAAAATTCGGACACGTTCTATTATAAAATTTTATGCGTGAAATTGGAGAACTTTAGTATTTTAGATGTTAAAGTTTATTGGAGTTCAAGGTTTGTCAGAAATAAAATTTTTAATATCAAGCTTTAAATATTACAACTTCTCAGAATAAAAATATTAAATATCTTCTCAGGATAAAATACAGCGTAAAATATTTCGGAATTAATATCAAAAATAGATTCTCATTTTAAATATCACAACTGAAGTAATTTGCACCTTTTCAAAATTAAATTAGTTTCGCAAAATTAAAATTTTAAATATCAACCCCTCGGAATTAAAATTTTAAATACCACAACTTCCAGGGATTAAAATTTTAAATGTCAAACCTCTCAAAATAGAGAGCATGTTACACTAAAAAGGAAAATGGTTTCCAAGTAAAAAGCAACCCAAAAAGTGGTGTAATTAATCTCCGAAGAGTCGTGGTGAAAGAAAGCATTTTCCCAAAGTTCGCAAACTCGTCGCAACACGTGGTTCACTTCATCAAGAAAGCTTCTTACTTGGTTTCTTCATGTTTGTCCTCAAATATTGCAGAAGACGCGTTGTACTTTTACTCCGTGAAATATTTCAGTGAAATATTTATTTTAATAGCACTCAACGAGAGGAACTGGGTCAAGCGTCTACTATCGTTACGAGAAGAATAGGAATTTGAAGGCATTATTATTCCGCTCCTTTCAAATGGCTTCCCTCTCGGCCGAAAATTTTGCAAATTTTCCGCTACATTATTCGATCCACGTTGAAGTTTCTACAGCGACAGAATTTTTATTCCGAGACAACTTTCTCTAACGAGAAAAGTACCGACGAGAGATTGAAAACGTTGAACGCGTAATTACTCTCCGAGGATTTCGAACAGTATTCGAACTGTTCCTGGTGGTTTTTCACGAAGTACGCTTTAATTTATCGGTGGAAAAATTTAATGGAAACTGCTTTTACAGCGGCGGTTTAATTAATAACTTCTTATACTTGGAAAGTTCATGTCGCGATGCAAATTTTCGTGTCTCGTGAAATCGACGGGGCTTTGGAGAAAGAAAATGAAAGCGTCGTGAAACGTCGTCGTTTATTTACCATGAGAGGGTCGTGTGTATGGCTCGATTTGAATTTCAATAAGCGTTCAATGGTTATGCAAATAACTTGCCAGTGCTTAGGCAAGTCAGTGCTTAGGAGTGGAAATCGCGGGGGAATCAAACTAGTTGAGTTTCATAAGCAGAAAATTAACATATCGCAGCATTTTATCGGTAAAATAATCGTTATCGAGCATAAAGGTACTTACGTAGTTGTATTTTAAGTCTGGGTGCATGTAGTCGACACCTGAAACAGAAAAGAAGAAAGTCATAACTCTTCTACATTCGAGATAAATAAATAAAGAGAATACATTAACATCGAATGTAATACTGTCGAATGTAATAACGTTCTCGATTAATGTAATTGCAATTCGAAAATCAACACCTGCATGCACTTTCATTAACGAGGAAATAATCATTTATTAACGCAGTTGCAATTAACAGTTATTAAACTGGAAACGTTCGGAGAAATATCGACAATAAACGTCAATCGAAATGGTATAAGCGGTTAATCGTTGATATATCTGAACGGAACTGGACAGATCACGTCCAGTTTTGATCCGACAGATTGCTAAATATTGGCGTTCTACTCGGCCGTGTCTCTGAAACGAAATTCGATGTACAATGTTTAATCGACCTTTGCTGTATCATCAAAACCTATAGATAGATTTCAATTTCGAGTTTCATTTCATCGCACTGGGGAATTGAATTTATCACATGGCCATACATTGTTCGAACAGCGATTGATTACAAAGTATTCCAAGATTTATAGGATGGCTATTGGATTTTTCTTTACGATATTTTATCGTTGGAATTTCGATTTTATTTGAGTTGTATTATGGGATGTTAAGAACACTGGATATATGTTATGTTGCAGTATTGAAGTTATTCGAATAGTTGGAACACTGGGAATTATTCAAATATTACACATGAAGAGTATTCGAAAACACTATATTCAAATTATAACACAACTATGGAATATGAAATACTCTAAACACCATATATCACTATAGAGGAACAATATTGGAAAGATTCGAAAAATCCTACAACAACTATGGAATATTCTAATATGTTACAAAGAATAGTTCGAAATATTACAATACTTCAATAGTATTATTCGAATGTACAAACAACTGAAAAAATGCGGAACCCCAAAAACCCGGGATTCGAACCCCGGTCCCCCGATTGCGAGTCGAGTACCCTACGCACTACGCCAAGTCGCTCCGCCCTAATTTCTCCTATCATCACTCTACTTATACATTCTAACCACTCTGACTCATAAATTTTAACTTATTTTAAAATTAACCGAGAAATACCTGAATATTTATAAGTGTAAGACCGAAATTAACGGAGAACATTAAAGTATTAAGGAAAGTAAGGATAATTAACGAAATTACATGGCAGCAATATCCGTAATTGATTATCAGACAGCCGTGGCACACAATTAATGCAGCTAACCTCAGGAATGCGACGTTCATGTGCCGCGTAATCTAAGCTAAAACGCTTTCTGTTAATGAGATCTCGAGAAGCCGGCGGCAAAATTGCCGTTAAATCCACCAAACGATCCATTAACTTCGAAGATGTTTTAAGCTTTTTAAAATGGCCAATTTCAGGTTATATCACCTCATGCAATACAATTAGCAGCTTTTTATGTGCAATTTTGCCAACCTTTTTTACACACGAAGATATAGAACTAAACCATGTTTATAAAAATAAAACTACACTGTCTAACATTCGGAAGATTTTTCGCAAGAACCATATAAAATCGAACTTTAAATTAAAGTTTGCTTCTTAAAAGGGTAATTACCATCATCCATTATAGCGGTGGTAACATTTTTCCCGGTAACGCCTTGAGCCCAGGCTGCCTTCACGTTCAAATCCAACTTCGGTTTCCCGCCATTTTGCCCGGTATTTTTCAGGTACCACTGATGCTGGAAATAAGGGTCCGACGGGTCTCTGTTGACTGGATTCTCTGGATTTTTAATTTGGTAAAGGGGCACGAGATTATCCACGCTGAGCGGCTTGTAGCCTCTCTTCACCCTCTTGAATCCAGGCTGCTGCACCGCCGTGTGCACCTGAAACATTTAAACGAGCCCTCGTGCCTCAATATTTTACACTAACACGCCAGTCTCATCCCTCTTTCGCGAGTCAGCTACTGGCTAATTTGCCTTTTACAAGCTTCGCCGAACGAGAGACGGAATTAATCCTTTGAACTCGATTAGAATATATCTAATAGCTACTTCACTTTCGATGTCGTTCGCATAATTTTCGGACAAGTTGTCGATCGATAAACATTTTTAATATAGGAATAAGTATTTTAATAGTGAATTATATGAATAACATGTGCAATATGAATAATATATTGATTTGAATAATACACGCACATGTTTCGTATGCTTCCGATCGTCTCCGAACATTTCCGAGCGCAGCCGAAATGCACACACGGTGATCCCACACTTCGGAAACTTAGACGCTGAATAAAATTTTTACGTGCGTTTAAAATCTTTATAAATTAACACATCTAAGGATTCTAAAGTATGCAAAGTTTCTAAAATTGCGATACTTTTTTAAAACAATTGTTTAGGCTTTGTTTCGTTCATGAATATATTGATTTAAATAATACACGCACGGCACATGTTTCTCGTATGTTTCCGATCGTCACCGAACGTCTCCGAGCGCATCCGAACACATACATAGTGCATAGTGCACACATAGTATGTATACTTTGGAAACATTAACATCGAATAAAATTTTAATACATATTTAAAAGCTTTAATAATGGATTCTAAGGTTTGCAAAGTTTCTAAAATTGCGATATTTTTATTAAAATAATAGCTTAGTTTCGTTTGGGACACCGTATATATTGGGGAGACGTCAAAGGTGTGAGAGTGGACAAAAAATAAACCCTCCTCGAATTTCATCCGATGAGTTTCACTCTATCGACGTCCACAAACGGTGAGAAAATAATGGACGTCTGGTTAAAGCTTTTCACCCCGATAGAAAAGAAGGACGAAAGGCGATCGCGTCGATGGAAAATAGAAAAAAGCAATGAAACAATTCTTGAATAAGAATCAGGTATATGATACGAACTACGTCAGAATGGTAATTTTATGCGACCAATTTGTTCATAGTCCGATTATATATCCTCCTGTGCCCGGTTGGATATTGCGGTTTCATTTGCATTTATATCGACAACCTTTGACAGCAAAGCTTTAAATCGAATTTCACGGATCCACCCACGACTCGTGGCCATTTTAAAGCGTTCCTTTCTCCGTCGAAATTTGGCTGCCTTCTAAAACGCAATATGTAGATCAAATTTCGTAGGTTTAGAATCGTGAAGAGGAGAAAATTGCTGGGATCGATCGACGAAAGTAGAACGAAATTGAAAGATTTCATTTGATTTCGCGCTATTGGAAAGAGAGCGACATAGTTGGGTGAATTGATAGACCATTGTCCGGTGAAATAGTGAAAGATCACTTACCAGAGGGTCTACTTTCAATCTTCTCATGTGCGGCACAGATCTTTTGCTTCGTGCGTGCGGCAGAGCTCTGTGCACGAAATGGTACTCCGTTTGGCTGCCCAATACCTTGACAAAAGATACAAAATTTTTAGTACATAAGAAATGAAGTAGAGTTAGAAAATATTTTTTCTTTCGCTCACTTGGTAAGTGCGACGGATCAAACAGCATCGATCCAATCGAACTGCAGATAGACTCGCCTCGATTAAGTACATGATATAATCTGTTACTCGCTTAATAAGTTTGCCTTCCGCTAGGAAATCGATCAAACTGACGGTAGATTAAATACACGTGCACAGGAGTTATTTACCTCTGTCACCTATCAATTCCTTTAACCCGTACGAGGTATTAACAAAATGAATAACAATCACTTACTAATAACCGCTCACATTATTCCCAAAGACTAATTAAAAATCTGTCATCTTTCATCGCAAGAAAATCGTATTACGTGTTAAAACAGTTTTCGCTGATCAAGGAAGAAATCGTGAGGGAATGAAAACAACCTCCGCCCCTGGAACGATTAATCATTATCGCATTATAGTTCTCGGAAACGGAGAAATAAGAAAAGTTGCCGCCGACAGGATAAAGCTTTTATAAATGTTTTCTCTACTTTAATTCAGGCTCACCGTCCGTTTCTTTAAACATCCTCGCCGAAGATTGAACAGCGCAAGATTCTAATCTTCTTTCGATCTCGGATGAAAATGCTTCACTCCGGCAGCTTTCCGCGAGACCCGATTATTTTTCCGATAGTTCGAGGCTCGTGTTTCATGCGGAAGGAAACACCGTGTCAAAGTTTAGCGGTCTGCAGAAGTTTCGCGAAGAAAAACGTCGGAAATTCAGTGGAACACGTGCGTGATATCGACGTCCGGTCACTTACACGTGACCGCATCGCGGGAAATCTCGTTAGTTTATTGAAATCCCTCCCCCACTGTGCGAAAATCGGGACGAACATACTTTCGTGTCAAATTCCATTATCGACTCTCGTACGCGTCCACTTCGCTGCGTTATTTGTTGCAATTGCGAGGCGCGGAGAGAAGAAATTTTCTCAAAAGAGAACAGATTATATTAAACTGTTCGCGCTTTGAAATAACTAGTCACTTTAAAAGTGGCGATAAATGCGGTACAATTACGGATTTAGAGAGATAGGAATTTTGCGATCTAGGGATTTGGGAATTTGGAGATTTGGTATCTAGGGACTTGGGAATTTGGAGGTTTGGCATCTAGGGATTTTTGGAATTTAGGAACTTTTGGGATCTAGGGATATTGGAACCTAGGGATTTTTGGATCTAGGGATATTGGGATCTAGGGATTTTGGGAACTAGGGATTCTGGGAACTAGGGATTCTGGGAACTAGGGATTTTGGGAACTAGGGATTCTGGGAACTAGGGATTTTGGGAACTAGGGATTTTGGGATCTAGGAATTTTGGGATCTAGGGATGTTGGGATCTAGGGATTTTGAAAACTAGGGATTTTGGAAACTAGGGATTCTGGGAACTAGGGATTTTGGGAACTAGGGATTTTGGGGATCTAGGGATTTTGGGGTCTAGGGATTTTGGGAACTAGGGATTTTGGGAACTAGGGATTTTGGGATCTAGGGATGTTGGGATCTAGGAATTTTGGAAACTAGGAATTTTGAGATCTAGGGATTTTGGGAACTAGGGATTTTGGGATCTAGGGATGTTGGGATCTAGGGATTTTGAAATTTAGGGAATTGGGGGATCTATGGATTTAGTGAGTTTAGGGAATTTTTGAATCCAGGGAATTTTGGGAATTTAAGAATTTGGAAGATTTAGGAATTTGGGGAATATAGAGTATTTCAGAAATTTAGGGATCTAAAGATTTTTATATCTAGGGATTTAGGTGTCTAAAATTTGGGAAATCTAGGGATTTGAGGATTTACTAGTTTGGGGAATCTAGGGATTATTTAGTTATCCAAAGACTTGAGATCCTTCTACAAATTTAATATCTAGATATTTGTCATGTAGGAATTTGTACTTTAGAAACTTGATAAAAAGAAACTAGGAAAATTGAAAAAAAATCTAGGAATTTGGAATTTAAGAATTTAAGGAGTTTTGCTTTAGACAATGTGTACATAGTTTAAAAATGAATGATTTAATATGAAACTAAATGTGTTAGAGTAGTACTTTGTTATATGAAATGGAAATGGACAGCTGAGCGGTGACTTGAGAAAACAAATATATCTGCTTTCACGCTGATGCAATTTCCTGTAATGCGATTAACGATAGTCGAGATATCGTTGTCTACGATTCTTCTATCAAGTTGCTTCTTCTTTCCGAGATCGATAACGAGAAATTTACTACGAGAACGAAGGATCGTAAACGTAAATTCTAGTTCTCGCAACCGTGTAATTTCATTTCGTTAGGTGAGTAATGTTGGAGACCGTTCAGAAACGAGCATCGTTAACACGTTCGCCAGCGTAATGATCAATTTGCAGGACTGGCATCGTAGTACATGGCAAACAGTGCGCCGATAAATATTAATTAGGTTTGTTGGTTTCGAATATTCAAGATTTTCGAAGCGCTATCGATATAAATTCTTCTATACGTTCTTTCTTTGCTTTTTAATTATTTATTCTGGTGAAACTTATTTTCATGAAAGTTAATTTTGATAAAAGTTTACCCTCTTGAAAAGTCTGAATTTAACCTTTTAATATTGCAAAGTAACCCTGGAGTCTGAAAACTGTAAAGACTTTGATCACTAAGTGCAGTTGCAAGAATATCAGAACCATCTTTCAGGAAGGTTCAAGTAGATATCCCGTTTCTATCGAGAAAGAAATAGGAACGGATGTTTTTCCTTCCGAATTAGATGAAAAGCGACACGTAGAGTGTCCGATCGATCTATCAATACGGTTCGACAATCTCCTCAGTAGAAAAGGGACGACAGGCCAGCCGTGATATAAAGAAACTTGAGGTTGACAGTGCCTTATCACGCTATTCTCGGTCTTGGTATTGAATTTCCGAGTATATCACGTCTCGGTTACTTTACTATCGTTACACGCTAACAGAACCCACTTACAACGAGTGAGAACACTGATGGAAGTGCAATATCGATGTTACTTCGATAATTACTTATTTATACGCTGTGTATTTTCTTCCAATCAAAATTAAAATCAGTGATCAACCAATTAACGTGTTGCTTTAATAATTATACACCAACATATATTTTGATCAAAATTAAAATCAACATTGAAAGTTTCAGACATGTCACAGAATTTCTTTTACAGAAAGATTCTGTTTAAAGAAGCGAAGATGAAACTTAATTGTCGCCATAAGTCGAGCAACTTGAATTAATTACGAAACTCGTGTTCGAACATTATCCAGTAATTTAACAAACGATGAATGTACCTTCAGAAACAGCGAACAAGTTTCCGAACGAGCAAATTGAAAATGCATTTGCATGAATGCATCGGTTGTATGCGCGTTGTATCAAGGGAACATTTATTATACTGTTCCATAGTTGTTCATCGACTATGCACATTTCAGTGCCAGCATTCTGAGCGACAACTTAGGTAGAAAGGAGCATCGAGCCCGTGTACCGTTAACTGAGCACTCAGTTATGCAACTACCAACGTTCCGAAGCACACGTTTCGAATATTTCTAAGTCCTGAAATTACGTAATCTGATCGTTCTCTTACACTCGCGCATTGCAAAGAAATACTCGGCGACTCTATAGAGGGACGCTGTAAACTTATCCTGCGATTGAAAGCCGGTGAAGAGAAAGACACGGATATTTCTGTACCCTACAATTTGCTTCCCTTCGTTTCGAAATTAGACTAACTTACGTAGAACGCTCGTGAAAAGATATTTGGAACAAAGCTCTAGTTTATAATTAGTCTATTAATATCGTATTTTAATTTGCTGATGTAACTTTAGTTAAAGTCGTAGTTAACACTTTGACTACTCATACAGAGTGTCTCACAACTGGTGTAACTCTTGAGATTGGGTGATAGGGTTCGAGATTCTGAACAACTTTTTCCTTTGCAAGAATTTGATCTAAAGCTTCGTTTTTGAATTATTAAAGAAAAACACGGACCAATCAGAGCGCGGGGATTACACATGCGCGGACGCTAGGCTTCGCTATTGCTCTCGCGTCTACGCATGCGTGCGGACCAATCAGAGGACGAGAATGCTGCGCACCAACCGCTAGGCTCCGCTATCGCTCTCGCGTCTACGCATGCGCGCGGACCAATCAGAGCACGAGAATACTGCGCACCAACCGCCAGGCTCCGCTGTCACTCTCGCGTCTGCGTGCTCTGATTGGTCCGTGTTTTTGCTTAATAACTCAAAAACGAAGCTTCAGACCGAAATCTTGCAAAGAGAAAAGTTGTTCAGAATCTCAAACCCCACCACCCAATCTCAAGAGTTACACTAGTTGTAACACCCTATATTAAATTCCCATATGAGTATATTTTTATCTAAACATTTAAAATCATGAATAAGTAATTGATAAGACCCGATCCGTAATTGAACAGTTTGTCGAATCGTTCGAAATCGCAGCGAATTATCATTGTAAGCTATCGCATTTTACCTGGCTCCTTTGTTTCTGAAAACAAACTTCAATCCGCCAAACTATACGTACCTTAATCGAGTTTATCCCGGGCTACACGTGTCGTGTAATCCAATTAACGAGCGTGCAAGTGCGTAGCATCGGACAAGGTATAACAACCTGCAACCAACGGATAAACACGAGCACACCCCGGTTTATTGTCCTTTCCCTTCTGCACAGATGTTGCACGTATGTAGATGCAATTTGTCGAGCGTATTCAAAATACCGACGAACCCGTGTGTACACGGTCAGCGCGCAGCCAACGCGAAGATGAAAAATTGAATTTTTCTCGCAGTTTATGGAGAAGCAAGCTTTTAGGACAACGTGACATATTGCTGGCTGTAGAAAGGTCGAAGGTCTATAAACTTTGCCCAACTTAATCCAATCATGGACAGTGGTTGGAAGAGCAATTTTGCTGGATTGTTTTTTATGTACAAAGTGATATAAAAGGAACATCACATATCGCCTCGCGTCATAACACCGTATGTTACACCATATGGACA